GATAATACTCTTAAATAAACATATTAATGGGTAGTATATTCAGATTTTGCCAATAAGCCATGCCAAATATTACACACTTGTCCTTTAAATCAATTCCCATGTACTTCGCCAGACTAGGCTGTATCACAAAGGGCTATAACTTAAAAACTATTTGAGATACTGGCCTAATATTTGGCATTTTTTCATTTTGTGTGAATATTTACTCGTGTATTTTTTCTAAGAATTTTGAGGAGGTGACCTGGCACCTCCTGGATGACTTGACATGGAATGACCCCATATTACATCTGGGAGGAGCCTCCATTCTCCCTGTGATACTGCCATGGGGGAGGGAATCTGAGACATAATTGAGGTGATCAAGCAGGTGCACTGCCAGAAGAGATAGCAGATTACTCACTGTCTTTTGTTTGTTGTTGGTTGTGGGCAACATGGAGTTGACTCTGTGATTTTGTGACTCCCTTGAGGTTCAACACTGCTACATTAGCTGTCATGCACCAGTTCTTGCTTGCACCACCACCGCATGGAAAGGAATTATGGTGAGAATCGCTGTTGTTGGTTCCAGGATCTTTATATGCTCGTTCTGCAGATCATTGGGTAGTAAAATGTGAAATGAACTGGAAATGACTTGAACTGTTGTGGACCAGTGCTTCCTTGAGGAAAGTTGTGCCTTGGTAACCTGGGCAACCACCATGCCCATCATCAAGTTTAATCACACAAACTTAAAAGGCAGCTGTGAAGCCTTGTTCATTCGGTATACACATTGTCATGGTAACCCAGTCTTATACGCGTTTCAAGCAAATAAATGTTCATATTAAGAGAAAAATCTTTGCTTTATATGTCGGAATGAGCAGAGCTATGATGATAGTCTGCTTCGGTATTTAATGTGAGTGGCAATATCATTCGTAAAGAAGCGTTATTAGTCGCCCTCCCTTTTGCGATGACAAACCAAGGCAAATTACGTATCTGATGAGAGTTATAGTCAGTGAGAGAAGGCACAATCACACTCAGTTTGCAATTTGAGTTCAATTACGTCTATGAATATAATCCTGTTATTATTCACGGGGTGAGGAATGTCACTGGGCAAGACAGTTGTTGGTATGCAACCCTGCATGTGCATTGGGGTAGAGCACATTACTACTGATCACCAGGAGTCCTGTGATTCAAAGAGCAAAGCCATGCGCGTCAATTTTATCAGCAGCATGTTGTTCAGTGTCATGTCATGTTTCTTGTGTTAGTTGTGTTCCCTGCAATCCAGCCATCTGTGTCAGAGTCAATCTTTTTTTTGTTAATTAATTCACGTCATTTAATTATTGCCTCGTTCCACCCTCCTTCCTCCTAGTCTCATTCCTCTTCCCTTCGCACCTGTTCAGGCCCGGCGCTAGAACAGGAAATTGGGGGGGCACAGACACGTCCCTTTATGACAAGAATTAGTCCTGGTAAGTTCTCAATCATTTTCCTTTATTGACGCGTTTTCCAATAATTGTAATTGGCATCTGACGACACGGTTTCTCTCCATATGCAATCTAACAGAGATGAAATCATGGGCTAAATTCAGTACAGTGGCGGAACCAGAACTGATAATTGGGGGGCACAAAACACCCGTTTAAAACAATTATTAGTCCTGACCTGTTCTCAGTCATTTTCATGATTAACAAAAGGCTCACTCCGAGAGCACTCCACACTGAACAGGTGCTGCTTTTTCTCCCCGATTAGGTAAGACGATGGTCATTCATCTGGACGCGTATTTGCTGTATTTAAATCAATGTTATTCAAAGTTGCATAACTGCGCAAATAGCTTGAGCCTCATACTTTTTATGGCCTATTTAATTGCCAAGTGCCATTTTTTTTTTTTTTAATCAACCGACGCAATACCCAGAGAGAAAGGCGGTATTTCATTGGAATGCGGACCAGTTCAATCAACGCAAAGCATTGGCCTATTAATAAGTAAATTATTTTTTTGAACTGAATTTAGCCCATGATTTCATTGCTGTTGGATCGTATATGGAGAGAAACCGTGTCGTCAGATGCCAATTACAATAATTTAAAACTGCGTCAATAAAGGAAAATGATTGAGAACTTGCCAGGACTAATTCTTTTCATAAAGGGACATGTCTGTGCCCCCCCAATTCCCTGTTCTATTGCTGTGCCTGCACCTGTTCTTCCTCATTATTGATTGTCGTCTTATGAATTTATGTTCCTGGTCTTTGTTTTTTCCTTGCTATATTAATACATTACATTGTCTAGTGTTTTGTCTCTTCCATCCTTGGTGTTAACTTCTCAAAGTACTGAATTGCTATTTAATAGGGAATCTCTTCCCAGTTTGAGGTCCTGGTGAGTGGTTTCTTCCAGTCTCTCCTACACCCTAGCTAGCACTTGTCTGTGCACGCTGGTTTATTAGGCCTCCCATCTCTGTTACTGACCTCAGAACGGATCCTTTGAGTATGCCTTGCCAGAACCCCCAGAAATTCTGTTCACCTCTGCATGACTTTAGAACATCTCCTGACCAAGCTTTACCAAAGTGCCTTTGAGTTTAACTTGTCTGTGATCTGCATCTGGCTCTTTCTTCTAAAAACCAGGACTCAATAATTAGTATAATTCTTCAGCCAGAAAGCAGAGCTGGCTGAGTTCATAGATGGAACAAACACATGAAAGGACTTTCACTTTCTGACGCTTGGACTTCACGCCTCTGCAAATAGCAATTGCATAGCAAACGCAGGGGCAGCCGGGACTCACTGATGTTTGCACGTTACTGTCGCCCACATCACACCGCAGCTATGGGGCTACACACATTAAGCTCCGTTAATAAGGCAGAATGTCTCAGTGCATTGAACTAGCACGTATGTAAGTCAGTGAGTTAGCTATGCACCCCTTGCTCATTACAGTGATGTTTGCCGCCCAGCCTCGGTCATACAGAATAATGCTGACTATTCAAAGTTAAAGTCTCACAATTAATAGTAAACCTGGTTTAAGACTTGGTGGAACCAGCTCTGCAAGAATAACAGAACTGACTATTCTTGTACTGTTTTATGAGTTAAGGCACACATTTAGAAGGATTTTTGCCCATTCTATGCAGATCCTTTCAAGTGATGCAACATTCCTGGGTTTATGCTTATCAACCACCTCCTTCAGTTCAGCCCACACAGGTTTTAGATGGGACTGACGGATTTCCCACCGTGGAGAAAAGACTTCAGCAAGATATTTCAGCAACATTCAACCTATACCCTCCTCATGCACACACACACACACACACCACATACCTAATGCGGTGTTGAACAAACATCAGAGGTCATTTGAAATGCTTCTGGGAGGAAAACTGCATCTTGAAGTCTGCTAATTACCAGCGAGGTTGGACAGCCTCCATCGCCTTGGCATAATTGGCTTACCGTAAATCAATTCCCATGTACATCGCCAAACTAGCTATCAAGCGATTCATTCAGCCAACCGACTATTCAAAACCAAAATGTAGCCTATAATGATTAAGAAAAGATAATGGGAAGCAGACAGACCTAATCAGGCTACTGTGTTAGATTGAAAGAATGCCAATAATCTGAATAACTAGTAAAAAAAATTAAAAAGTTAAGAAATTAATGAACAACCTCTGTATTCCACCTCTCATCTTAGATTTTTTATGTTTTATTAAAAAGATATCTTAAAAATAAAATAATTTTAAGATGGCCCTGGTTTTTAAGTGTTTAAAAATGTAAGCGACGTGGAAAACATTTTATGAAGCATATCGAACATGAATATGTGAGAGAAATTATGTTTGCATTGCAAGCAATAGTCAAATGCACCAAAGACTTGGCAAACACCTTCAGGCAACTCTGTGCCGCAAATTTGTATCATTTTTTTGTTTGAAAATTGAACAAGATTAATCTGAAATAAAGTAATTCATAACGCTTGATTTCGGTTCCTTTTGATTGTCTAAATAGCCTACAGTTAAGGTGGAAAACATTTTGTTTAAGCATATCGAACATAACGTGTAAATTGTCATCGCATTGGCACACAACGGCCAAATGTAAAACTAGACATAATCTAGTAAACACATCCAGGCAAATCTTTCATGTTCCATGGTTATTTGAATTTCAAAATGTGACAAACAAAAATGATATCTAAATAAATTAGAATGTCTACCAATTTAAATAGTTAATTGAGCAAATCAACTGTGTGATTGCAAGTTGAGCAAAGTAAATGGGAAGGGGGTGAGCGAAATTGTCGGCTAGAAGGTCATGATTTTGCAGACCTTAACTTTGCTCTGATCAGTTTTTGATTTGTTCTTAAGCTTGTCAGAAAAATACCATTTGAAAAGTTAATGCTGGATATAATATGCTTCACTTGACATATGGGTACAAAGTCCATGGTGGCTGGGAAGTGCACAACAAAATTACATAGTGTGAAACACTTTTACAAACTCCAAACAAATTTACATTTTAGAAAAAATTTTTGCATTTTAAGAAAACAAATTTTCATTAGCAAAACACTTTTACCAAGGACAAAACAAATTTACATTTTAGAAAACAAATTTACGAGACGCGAAACACTTTAATGAACTCTGAGACAAATTTACAAGCGTAACACTTTTACAAGTCCTGAAACAAATTTACAAAGGAGTAAATTCTAATGGAAAGGGAATGTACCAAATTCTGGCAGTGATTACGTAAGGAGCCAATCAGTTTGTTGCAGCGGAACCAAATTTTTTATTTTTTTTCCCCACGCGAGTTCTGGACACCAGTAGAAACTCATTTGCATACAGTCAATCAGCGACTTTGATCTGGACCACTGAAGGAGCGCCTCGCGACAGTGACTGGCCTTGCACTGAAGTACAATGCTCGGAATACTGCAATTACATCTTAAATGCCTGTCTTACCCTCAGCAGAACTGTTGGCCAAATCATTTATCTAGCCTGCCATTTGGATAAATACATTGTTATAGTGAGAGTTGAAGGGTCCTGTCACTAGAAATGCCTCCTAATAAGTAAGCGTCCTGGCTACCTTGCCAACAAGCCTGGCTCTTTGGCGATGTGGTCAGCGCGTTTGACTCTTACCCGGGAGTAGGGTTCAATTCCCTGCCTGGGCCCTCCTTCGGCCTGCCACATTCTAGCGTAATTGGCAGGATCTGGGGGATCCTACTGGATGGCAGCATGCGTAAAACATGGAGCAAAGAGGGGGAGAGATGTGACAGTTGAAGGATCCTGTCACTAGAAATGCCTCCTAATAAGTACGCACCCTGGCTACCTTGCCAATGAGCCTGGCTCTTTGGCAATGTGGTCAGCGCATTTCACTCTTACCCCTGTCCGGGCCCTCCTTCGGCCTGCCACATTATGAATGTAATTGTTCAAAATATTTGAAGCCGGTAAACTGAGCTAGTTACAATCAATATAGTCTTGCAATACGCGGCTCACCGCTGTTTTATGCTGCACTAATCTGGCATATTAATAAACTCGCCAGTGACACCTAAAAAAACCCGATGAATACAGAGTAAAAATAACTGAGACTGCGTGAGTTTATTCTCGAAAATTTGAATACTCTGAACAGATAATTTTTATGTAGCCGAGCTAGTGAACGTTAAAAACATATTGGCAGTGATGTTGGCAAGTGGTGTTAATGAATTGATTTCACACTTTGGCTGTTGGCTGTTAATCTCGGTTGATTATGGTGCTTTCTTTCTGCATCATAGAAACATAATTTTAAGTAGACGGCTATAGGCCTAGCTATACTCAGGCAGAGGGATGTGATACAGCCTAATGATTTATACTTTAAAAGAGGTTTCATTCGAAAATCAGGGGGCTGTTTCCTGGAAAATAAATAAATATATAAATATATAAATAAATGAAAACAAGAGGTTGCTCACTAGTATTATAAACTTGGTTGTAACAACAATCACAGTATAAACACTGACCCGAGTAATTAATGGCTGATCTGGGCTGATGTTGCTACTGTAGCCGACTACAATCTGCAGTGAATCGGCTCATGCAATTAAGATTCAGTCGTGGGGTGAGTTCACAGTCCCATTTCTGCAGCGGCAATAGCCCTCTGCATGGGTAAACAGTCTAATCATTTATATCCTTTGCTCGGAAGGACTAAATGGTAAAATAATTTTCAAGTGTTTTCTGTGAATCCAAATTAGGCTACCTGTCACAAATGGCCACCGCATTTTTAAATGAATTAAACGGAGCTGTAATCAAAGCCCCATTTCAAGTATAACATCATTTGGCTGTAGGCTATCACACCCCTCTGCCTGAGTGTAGCTATGGCATTTTATTTAAAATTATGCTTCTGTAGTGCAGAAAGAAAGCACAATAGTCAACCGAGATTAAAAGCCGACAGCAATGAGTGAGCAGGCTACAATTTATTAATATGACTTTCCAAACTTGGCGATCATTTTTAACGTTCTCCAGCTCGGCTAGATAAAAACAATCTGTTCAGAGCATTCATATTTTTGAGAATAAACTGAGGGAATCTCAGTTATTTTTACTTTATATTCATCGGGTTTTGTTAGGTGTCACTAGCTAGTTTATTAATATGCCAGATTATTACAGTATAAAAAAGCGGTGAGCTGCATATTGCTAGACTACATTGATTGTAACTAGCTCATTTTACCAGATTCAAATATTTTGAACAATTACATTCATAACAATTTATTTATCAAAATGGCAGGCTAGATAAATGATTTGGCCAACAGTTATGCTGAGAGTAAGGCAGGCATTTACGATCTAATTGCAGTATTCCGTGCATGGACTGTGCAGTCACTGGTTCTGAGATTGTGCCTTGGTGCAAGGCCAGTAAAGACTACCAATTTGACTCCTTACGTAATCACTTCCGGCCTTTGGTACATTCCCTTTCCATTAGAATTCAGTCGTTTGCAAATTTGTTTAAGGACCTGTAAAAGTGTTACGCTATTTGTAAATTTGTCTCAGAGTTTGTTAAAGTGTTTCGCGTCTTGTAAATTTGTTTTCTAAAATGCAGATTTGTTTTGTCCTTGGTAAAAGTGTTTTGCAAATGTAATTTTGTTTTCTTAAAATGCAAAAGTGTATTTGAAAATGTAAATTTGTCTCAAGTTTGTAAAAGTGTTTCACACTATGTAATTTTGTTTTGCACTTCCCAGCCACTGTAGAAGTCAGAGGAAATAGTGGCTGTTCTGAGCTAAGCTGCTAAAACTCGCTTTTTTTTCAACATCGCGTCATAGTACATGTCAGTGCCCTATCTGTACCTCCTGCCCGATCGGTTCTGCACTTGCGCAATACCAGTTCTGCGCAAGTGCATAGAATTTCTGCTCGATTTGTACCACACATGCCTGAACATGTTACTTGACAACAGCCAGCTGCTTCTTTTCTACTCTAAAAACATAATAGTATACAAATTCACTACAACACAAGGATATTATAGAAAAATTATATTTTATTTCATGGTCCTTCATGTATAGATTTTTATTTGAATGGGCGTATTTTGCACAAAATAGTCTATGCTCATCACTTCAAGTACAAGTCATGGCAAAATAAGGAAACTATTGCGCGAAATCTCATGGAAGTGTTTGACAGTATGGGTAGCTTGACAGGAATTTGGGCATTTATACATAATTCATTTTGCCGATCCTTAAAGGTATAGTAAGCGATCATAATCCACGCACTTTTTGTCAAAATCACCGTATTTCTCCTCACTATCTGCAAGCAGTCACTTCTGAGAGCATGCTGAAAAAAAATCCGGTTTCAATACATAACATGGGCTCTGAATTTCAGCAGGGAAATCTGTGGCTCGGACCGAGCCACCAGAACATGGGTCTACCCTCCACGCCCAGGGGCGGGTTCATATTCGTGCACAGGTCAGACACAGGGGGGAGGGGCAGTAGCAGGTCGCGTTGCGTGCGCAGTTAGAGTAGAGGGAGAGACACGGCATTGCAGCATTTGCGATGGCCGAAAAATAGCCCAAGAGAAAACAGTCTGAGGAATATAAATAAAAAAAGAAGGGCTACGACCATGAAAGGGCGAAGACCCGGGTCAACATTGGTGTGGCTTTCCGATGGTGGAGGGAACTCTGCGAATTGAAGGGTCTGAAAACGGGCGCGGAGGTTGCCGTCTTTCTGCTGAACAGGTGAGCAACATTAGTTTTGCGGTGCATCACACAACAGTAACAGCCATCAGGCATTCATCATGTTGTCTAATCTGCCAAAATGTACCGTTTTGTGATGTTATCCATTGATAATAGCAGTCGAGTTGTGGATACAGTTGGCTGACGGGTCAGCTAACCTTAGCTTTGTAAATTGAACTTGTGGCTACGAGTTCTTGTGAATGTCTGATATCTTATGTAAGAAATCGACAGGGAATTGCGCAATCAAACACTGTACATGTGTATGTGCGACTAGATAGAATGAAATGAACCGCCTTCGTCTCAGCTTATTGTTTTGCTTGTACTGTCTCGCTTTGCATGCATGTGGTTGTAGCTGTACTGTTATGTGCCCACTGTTCTGGAAGAAATTTTGCTATGAGCTCCTGATAACCGTTTCTTCCAAAATGAAACCATTCTGACAGCAAGCTACTGAATGAGCTCATAGCAGAAACACGCAAACGGTCTTAGCCTTGCTTGTGAGAAGCTCACGAATCGGTAACTTGTACCGGGAAAAATTCCGAATCCAGTTTCCACTATTTCAGCTTGTAATTAGCCAGAACGATTTTTAAATTCATTCCTGACCGTAGTCTGCTCGTGGACACGAACGGCTGTTTACATGACAATGCGCGTCCATGAACTTTGGGGGATGGACCCCGGGGCGGAGTATGAAGGGAGGGGTGGGTCTGTATTCGTTTACACTTCAAATATCAACAACCTCGCTACTCGTTTTCTCCCACATCGCTGACTACACCTTCAATGTAACTCTAAATTGCATATTAACGGAACTGCTCCTTTATCACTAGAAATATGTGATAGGCCTATCTCACAATATGGCGCTCATAACCGGATGTGGGCGCCTTGCTTTTCCGGTTCCGGCTTCTCAGCATGTAAATGGCACATTTCATAAAAAGCCATCTTTTGCTCCTAATATTTCGCACCACTGATGTGGTTGGAATTATTGAAAACAAGTCAAAGATCAAAAGTTCGGTTGAGGGGCACAAGTTTTTCGAAAATTTCATTTACATTTGCGAAGGTTAATGATCATGAAACACAGATGTGGTGCTGAGGCAAAGCTAGCGGGTAGCTTTCAGTCGAAATTTTTCATTAATACCACTGATCTATATAGATCAGTGATTAAGCTGTCACTACTGAGGCATAAAGCTTGGGCGTTGAGTGAATACAACGTTTTTCTAGTTGTCAAGCTGTCCAATTATGGTTTATGGTCATTTCTGATTAAAAAAACGGCGCAAGGTAAATTTGGTTGATCGCGGAGAGACAGAAAGCGTAATTATATGTAATTATGCATGAATGACACGCAACGTTCCCTGGTTTGCCTCACTTACATAGTCCAACATTGCTCTGTCTAAACATAAAGCAAAGCATTACATTCCTTTTGTTAGCTTTTATATGTCGGCAATATGTGTCACATCGCGGGCTTTATTGACCTCGAGTCAGTGTCGGCGCCAGAACTGGATTTGGGGGAGCACAGACGCATCCTTTTTTTTATTTTAACAGCAGTTAGTCCTGCCTAGTTGTCAATAAGGGAAAAGATAGACACGTTTTTCAATCATAGTAATGATCCATTGGCAATTGAAGACACGGCCTGTCCCCCTATGCAATCTATCAGCGGAGAAATAATGGGCTAAATTCAGAACTGAAAAATAATTTACTTATAAACAGGCCTATGCTTTATGAAAGACGAACTGCTCTGGAACTTCTGAGCTACTTTATCCAGCACATCAGGCGATCTACCGTGCGTTCTATGATGATTTAAATTACTGAAATGAGATAAAACAGCATTGAAACGCCTTTATACATTTTTCAATGATGCTGATTTAAATGCACCAAAGTGCTCGTTCGCATCGCCTGACTTTAACGGGGAGAACTAGCAACGCCTTATACTGTGGAGTGTTTTCAGAGTGAATGTATTTCTAATTTAGAAAATGATTGCGCACAAGACAGGGGCAGGGCTAAT